ATTGTAGAGTCTGAGAATCAAACTCAGGTCATCAGGTTTCTGAGGCTAGTGATTTGACCCACTGAACTATTTGTAGTCCCAGATTTATATATATGTGTGTGTATATATGTATATGCATATATATATGTATATATATATGTGTGTGTGTGTGTGTGTATGTGTGTGTGTTTGTCTTGTTTTCAATTTTTTCTTTCTTTTTTTTTTTTTTTTTCTTGAGACAGGGTCTCTTTACATAGCCATGGCTGTCCTGGGACTCACTCTGTAGACCAGGCTGGCCTCCAACTCAAGAGATCTTCTTTCCTCTGCCTCCAGAGTGCTAGGATTAAAGGCATGCACCATGACACCCAGCCAGATTTGTTTTCTTGAAAAAGAGGAAAAGTTAGCACTAGGTGCAGCTAGTGTTAGAGCTGTATCTGACATGGGCATGCCTTCAAGAATATGCCATATTGGTTCATAGCAAAATCACCCCATTGGAGGAAAGGAAGAGAGTGAAGAATCATTGTAGTACTACAGGGATGGAGGGTTTTCTAGAGTTTGCTGAAGGGAGAAAGTTAAATATTTTGTCCTAAAGATCATGTAGTAAACAAAGTCAGCTCCATTGGTTAGGTTCTTAGACTCTTAATTAATTAATTTGTGGTTATAAATATATTCTATCATATTTTTAATAGCTCAGAATTCAGAACTTCAAGAAAAGGCAAATGAAATTGAGAAAACATTTCAGACTTCCCAAGAGAAATGGAAAGAAGAATGCAGGAGATTTGAGCATGATTTGGAGGAAAGAGATAATATAATTCAAAACTGCAATCAAGAATATGAGTTACTTATGCAGGAAAAAAGCAGGCTACAAAAAACTCTACAGGTAAAATACTTAACCTAAGTGGAAGTTCTAGGTCCTCCCTCCCTCCCTCCCTCCCTCCCTCCCTCCCTAGAGGCATTTTCACATATCTCCTGTGTTGAGCTTCAACACTGGATTAAGATGTATACTGTTTATTTTGTGGAAAGCATTTGAGATCTCTGATCTCAGTGGTAAGTCCTCTTGCCTCAACTGCCTGAGGCCTTGGGTTTGATCCACACCACCACAAATAAATAGAAGAAATATAACAAAAATGAAACAAACAAAAGGTAAAAAGGATAACCAAAAGGAAAGCAACAACTACTTCTTTGGAATACTGTAAAAGTGAAGACACATATCCCTTTTCTTCTAGCAACATTAAAATGTGGATTTTAAAAATGTGGGTTCTGGTTGGGCAGTGGTGGTGCACACCTTTAATCTCAGCACTTGGGAGGCAGAGGCAGGTGATCTCTGTGAGTTTGAGGCCAGCCTGGACTATAGAGGAAGTTCCAGGACAGCCTGGGCTACACAGAAACCCTGTCTCCAGAAACCAAAAAAAGAAGAAGAAGAAAAAAAAAAAGAAAAGAAATAAGTGGGTTCTAGATTTCAGTTTGAATATGAAATAAATACAGAAAATTATGTGTTTTATAATGCCTTATGTAGAGCACATTCTACGATGAATGATGAAATGTAAAATCATTAATTTTTACTAAGGCTGTTGTGAGGTATGTATTTCCATAGTTTTGGTCCTTTTTTTACTCCCTACAGTCCAAGTGGGGCTGGGGTTGAGTTGACAGCAACTTAGACAGCGTATATGGAGTCGAGTGTATACGACATGACTTTGAAGTGACTTAGACAGCGTATATGGAGTTGAGTGTATATGACATGACTTTGAAGTGACTGTTTAATGTTTTTCTTCTTCCCCAAGACAGGTTTCTCTGTGTAGCCCTGGCTGTCCTGGAACTCACTCTATGGTCCAGACTGGTCTCAAACTCACGGAGATCCGCCTGCCTCTGTCTCCCGAGTGCTGGGATTAAAGGCGTGAGCCACCACTGCCTACTATAATAGTTTAAACTTTTTAAAAAAGAAAAGGAAAATGTAAAAATGCTCCATATTTACCTTAAGTACGCATTATTTTTATGCACTGCTGCATCCTTACATGGTCTCAGGGACTTGACCTGACTGGAAAGGTAAGAGAATGAAGCAAAGACAGACGCAGGGACACAGAAAAGCTGGTATTGGGTGTTCTGGGCCCTCTGATGGAGAAGCCCCCGCTTCCTGGAAGCTCAGCAACGTGTTTATTATTAACCTGAACAAGGAGGTGGGGTTGCTACAGGCAGATAAACATGGGGGCAGGCTCTGGTGTACAGGTGAACAAGGAGGCAGGCTTAGCTCATCTTCACAGGAGAGCAGTCTTCAGGTCGCAGACATCTGGGGAGAAAGCTATGGTGGAGGTTTTCTGTACACAACATCCACATTTGCACTGGGACCCAAGGAAGGCTTTGCTGTCCTTCTGAGCCTCACCTGGGGTAGGCTTTGCCACTCTCGTGGGGCCGAGGCATTGGTCCTTGACATGGCTGTACCCGAGTGTCAGACAACATCACTCACTCAGGACTTCCCTTGTTCCCTATATTGCATTTTCACTAAAAAATGATTTTACCACAACAGTTAGTAGATGTAAAAGTTCCATCACCAGTACCCCCAGACAGTGTCAGCTGATCTATTTTTATTTTCTCCCTGCCAGTAATCCTGGCTTGTCTCTTGGTGACTGCGTCGCCCTGCCCTGGTGTTTGGGTGGTGGATGTGTAGGTGAGCTTAGTCTGTGAGTCCTTGGGTGGACTTGGGTTCCTTAGCTGAATCAAGTGAGACAGGAGGAAGGAAGAGGGTGATGGGGCAGCATTCCTTACGTCAGTCAGCTTGCACCCTAAGGTCTGAAATCTTGATGTGTTCTTTGCAACTGCTTAGACTATCTCTGCTTTGCGTTTAGGTATTATCTTTGCGCTCCCCTCGCTGAGATGCACAGAGGAGTTTGGGGTTGAACAGGAGTCACTTTCTGGTCCTGAGGGTAGGGAAGCCCCAGACTCTCGAGGATTTCTGCTAGAGAAAGTTAAGAGGGTAATATTTATAAACAGATCCATGTGAACAGATCTCTTTTTTGCTCACATAAACCATAGACCTTTTTTCCCCATGTTAATGAAGACTTAGTTTTAAACCTGTAGGCTAGAAAATTGATTTTCATAGGAAACCTGTATTTTATATTAAGAATTTGGACCTAATTAGATCTAATAAATGTGGTATACTTAGAAAAATTTAAAAGGAAAAGCCTTTGAACTATCTGTAGAACTAGAAATTAGTTATAGTCTGAACTGAGTATTTTTATTTTCAAAGTTTTAACATTTAGGAATATTTTTTTTCTTTTCTTTTCTTTTTTTTTTTTTTTTTTGAGACAAGGTTTTTCTGTGAAGTATTGGCTGTCCTGGGTCTCACTCTGTAGACCAGGCTGGCCTTGAACTCTTAGAGATTCACCTGCCTCTGCCTCTCAAGTGGTGAGATTAAAGGCGTGTGCCATCACCACTTGGCATCATTTAGGAATATTCTTATTCTGACTTGTTGAACAACTCTCTTTTTTCTCTTTTAGAAATATCCTTGGGGCTGGAGAGATGGCTCAGTGGTTAAGAGCACTGGCTGCTCTTCCAGAGGTCCTGAGTTCAATTCCCAGCACCCACATGGTGGCTCACAACCATCTGTAATGAGATCTGGTGCCCTCTTCTGGCCTGCAGTCATACATGCTGTATACATAATAAATAAATAAATCTTTAAAAATAAAATAAAATAAAATAAAATAAAATAAAATAAAATAAAATAAAATACATCTGGCTGTGTCAGGATGGCTCAACCGTTCAAGGTGCCTGCTGCCATACCTGAGTCACCTGAATTTAGTCCCTCACAACCATCCATTATGAGATCTGTTGCCCTCTTCTGACAGGCAGGCAGATGTATAGGCAGAATGCGATATACATGATAAATAAATCCTTAAAAAAAAAATAAAAATACCCCTTTTCTTTACTAGGTTTGCATATAAATTTTAGGGATAATACAGTTTATTCACAGGTAAAGATGTTCATGCTAACAGGACTTTATTTTTGTTTCTTTCATTTTGTACCAACCTCTGATGTTGAATTTATTTATCTCCGTTTTATATTTTGATAAAGTGATAGTTTTATTAAGATTTTAAACATGAATTATTAATTTTTGAGACAGAGTCTCATGTGTCCTTGGCTGGCCTTGAACTCTCAGTATAGATAAGGATTACCATGAACTTCTGATTATTCTGCCTCCTCCTCCTCCCAGATCCTGAGATTGTAGGTCTGCACCACCATGCCTGGTGTTCTGAACAGCTGGGGACTGAATCCAGGGCTTGGAGCATGCTAAGCAACTATTGGTAGCTGCCATCCCCAACCCTAAGAGTTCAACATGAATTAAGAGTTTTTAACCATCTATTGGAAGGGAGAGCCCCTTTGTACATTTAAACTAGGTTGAAAAGCTAAAAGGTAACCTTTACTGATGTCATAGTAAAGCCAGATTTTGTTCCTGTAAAGGAAGCACTGGAGAAACATCAGCAAGAGAAGAATGAGATGGAGTCTCACGTCAGGGAGACTGCATTGGAGGAGTTTAGATTACAAGCAGAGCAATGGGAAGCAGAGCGAGGAGAGTTACAGCTCATAGTACAGGTATTTCAAAATAACTCGGTTTCTAGACTATGTTCTTGATGCTTATGGTCTGACAATTTTGTTAGTAGGATAATTTACGAGCTCACTCAGGTGGAAATCAATTGCAAACCTTTGATTTCTGGAAGGCCATCTTTGACTTGGAGTGACGGGACAGTAGATAGATACCATGAAGATTACGGCTGGACGGCTTCATTGCATAGTGTGTATGAGACAGGGTCTCATGTAGACCAGGCTGGACTTACACTTGCTGCATATCTCTTGCTGTTCCTAAACTCTTCCTAATTCTCCTGCTTCCACATCCTGAGTGCTGGGATTTTCGGCATGAGCCACCATGCCTACCTAAAATAGGTGATTTTTTAAAAAACTTTTATTAGGATATATTGATTATACAAAATAATTTTTGGGGGGTTTTGAGACAGGGGTTCTCTATGCATCAGCCCTGGCTGTCCTGGAATTCTCTTTGTAGACCAGGCTGGCCTGGAACTCAGAGATCTACCTGGCTCTGCCTCCCAAGTGTTTAAAGGTGTGTGCCACCATGGCCAGATCAGTAATGGGTTTGCTATTGTGACATTTTGATATGTGTGTGTATAGTGTATTTTGATCATATGCATTCTCATTAACCTCTTTTGCCCCCTTTTACTTCTGCTGATCCCTTTCTTCTTCCCAGTAATTCCTCTTCTACTTTCATGTCTTTTTTGGGGTGAACTATCATGTTTAATTATGGTTGCTCACAGGAGTATGGATGGGGGATCGCAGGAGCATGGTCAGCTCAGCAGTGGCTATACCACAGAAGATACTGTCTCTTCTTCCCCCACACTCATGAACTGCCTATAGATGCTTAAGAGAGATGTGGGCCCTCACCAGGGCCTCTTTCTAGTATCCATTAACTGCCTACAAATTCTTAGGGAGGGGTGTGGCCTCAAGAACCTCTTCCCCTCTCCATGACAGTATATTGACAGGTGGCATCTTGTGCAGATCTTGTGCAAATAATGACAGCTGCTGAGAGTTTAGCATGCAAAGGCTGTGGCCTGCCTGGAGGACAGTTTCCCAGCACTCCTCACGGTCTACCAGTTCTTTCCCTCTTCATGTTTTGTGAACCTTGGAGTGGGTGATATGGCCCACTGAGGGCTGAGCAGTTGACAGTCACTTATTCTTTTGAAGGATTTATTTATTTATTTATTTTTATGTGTATGAGTATTTTGCCTGCTTGTATGTATATGGACTGTGGAGGCCAGAAGAGGGTGCTGGTTCCCAGGAACTGGAGTTACTAACAGTTGTAAGCCACTAGGCAGATGCTAGGAACTGAACCTGGGTTCTCTGGCAGTGCTCTCCATCTGGGCCATTCCTCTAGCCCTTGCACTCACTTACTTGTAACACTTTGGAGTTATGATCTAGCAGGGTGACACTGCTTGACACTACCTGTGAACAAATAAAAAGCCCGGTGCCAGATGGAGTTGTGGGCCGGTGATGTTCCGTGAGCCCTCATAGACCCTCAAACATTACTGGCTATTCCTGTTGCTGTTGTTTGCCCTCCATAACTTGACTGACCGTGTTGCTGAAGACAGCGCATACTTGAGCCATAGGACACGGAGAAACCAAGCTGGTACTTACATGGAAGCTTCATCCCTACTGGCTTGCTTTCATAGTGCTGGAAGGTACTGTGCATGCTACCAGAGGAGAAAAACCATCATCAGCCCTACCCAGCTGGGAACCCTGTGAGCCACATTATCCCAGCACTTAGGGGGTAGAGGCAGGTGGATCTCTGTGAGTTTGAGGTCAGCCTGGTCTACATAGCTAGTTCCAGGACAGCCAGAGCTACACAAAGCAACCCTGTCTCAAGAAACCAAGAGAAAAAAAAAAAAGAATTGGCCAGGCCAGACATGCCCCTTGGTATAATAGTGGCTGTGGCTGCAAACTCTGTGAGAGTAACCACCCACTTCAGTTGAATTTAAGTCTCGACATACAAAATGAAACCCATACCTTTTCTAAGAGAACTTACTACTTTTAGGCTGCTAAATAGACACAGTATTAAACTGAGTCCTAATGATTTTATTGTTTTACCTATAGATTAATACACCCACTAACCCTCATCATAGAAACATTTGTCTTTAGTAGATGTTGGTTAACACAGAGACCCACAGCTGGTCTAGGTGTAGAGGAAAAGACTTGAGATGGTCATCTTTAAATAGTGTATGGATTTATGCTAGTTATGATACAATGTACAGTTTATCAGTTTATTTTTCTTTAAATTTTTTTTCTGTCCAAATGACCCCTTATGACTGTACAATTATGAATCTTACTTTTTAAGTATATATCTAGTTATGGGGGAGGGCAGGCATCTGCAGATGCCAGAGGTGTGAGATCCTCTGGAGCTGGAGTTACAGGTGGTTATGAGCCTCCTGATGTGGGTGCTGGGGGTCTAACTGGGATCTGGAAGAGCAAAACTGGAAGAGCTCTTCATGGCTGAGCCATCTCTTCAGTGTCCACAGTGTGCAGTTTCCAGTACAGGAGCAAACTGGTGTTGTTCCGGCCCTCTCAGGAGAAGCCGTCACCAGATCGGTGTTATACATAGCCACACTGGTGTGCGCCGTCACCAGATTGGTGTTATACATAGCCACACTGGTGTGCGCCGTCACCAGATTGGTGTTATACACAGCCACACTGATGTGCGTCTAAGCTGGAAAGAGCTCACTTGCTCTGATGCTTTTCTAAATCGACTTCTCCCAGGGTAGTTAAAATTCCTCGGGATTGGCGCTATAGTTTGGATTCTGAGAAGTGTTGTTTACATGAGTACATATAAAGAATCATAGTTTTTGATATGTGTTTGTAGAAGATGTGGAAAGAAAACAAGTTTATTTTCTCACAGCACAATGTGGTTTCCTGTGATGTTAAATGTCAGTTCAAAAACAAGCCATTTGAAAAAACATTTTAAGTTCAACACTTCCCTCTAGTGGACAGACGAAAGAACACCCCAAATCTCTCATGTCTGAGTTACTATTCC